ATTAAATAGTTAAGATTTGTATTAATGACCATTAAGAGGTAAATTAATTGGTCAAATTCCTTTAAACTCTATAAATAAGAGTTTAGGTTGGAGGTAAAGACACATTGAACTCATACTTCACTACGCTCTATTTATGTTCTATGAAGACTTCAATATTTAACTGTAACACAGTTCATAAAACGACTTCTAACTTGAGCGTCAAAAGTGCTTTTTGCAGGTACCTCCCTTCTCTTGTCAAGGGGGTGACCGAGCGATCAAGACTAAGGTTCATTGAGCAGCCAGTACTGAAGGTGACTGATCGGTCCAAACTGAAAGTAGACAAGCGGAGCACGTCAGTCAATGGTTAGTGTCTCGGTATCACAAAATTCTTACCGAAACAAAAATCAAATTAAAGAAGAATTTGATTAAGAAAACAACATAAGTTGTAAAAGACTAATCTAATGTTAGTGAGAAATCAATCATTAAAGTAAAGGATGATCACAGTTAGTGTTTGAGAGATGATCATAAAGTTTATTGACCAAGATTTCGGGTGATGACATCAAGAGGAACGAGGAATCTCGACCGTAAGAGGAGTCTCTCATATTTCTTCAAACGAATATTGGGTGATTCGCATTTATTGAGTCTTACATTATGGGTGTAAATAACTACTCTAAGTCTATATGATTTATTTTGCTTTGGATAAATTTAAGATTCATATATTTTGTATGCATTGAATTGTGTCTTCTTTTCACATAGATATGGACTAAGAAATATAAATTTATATACATTCAAATAAATGTAATTTTCCTCTTGATTCTTTTGTAGGATGCTCAATGTATTTTAATCCAAACATAATAAGTACAAAGTCGTGCGAACATCCAACATGCATGAATATTGAGTGAAAAAAAGTATTAAAATAACACAAAATAGTTATCTTAATATTTTATGAATAATAGTTGAGTCCATTTTTTATTGTTACAACAACAATTTACAAAGTAACTTTTCAATTATCTCTTTTATACTTCATTATGAATAACTTGAAGTTAACGTTATGTCATCCAATGCTTCAAACTATGTTCTTGTAATAATGATTATATTATATTTAACGCTAAATTATTCTTTGGACCAATTTTTGTTGAAATAATTTAAGTAGGATTTTTTTTTTCAATTAACCTGAATTGTTTTGAAAATTTGATTTAATTTAGTTATTTTCGTTAAATTTGTATTAACGACATCAAAGATATGTCACAATTTGTAATTTTTTTTAAAAAAAATTTTAAAGTCTTTTGTCCTTGTATTAGATTTTTGTCAAACCATGTAGCACTATCAATAACACATGAGAATGACAATATTACCTGTTAGTGTCAACTTTACCTGTCAGTTTTTGTATATTTAATTCAGTTTCTATATTTATTTTTTATTCAATTCATTCCTAGATTTTTTTTCTTCAAATAAACTAATGACCAACTTTATTTATTTATTTTTATGAATGTTATACTAATATATTTATTAAAATTGATATTGATATTAAATATTTCTAGAATCATTTTTAAACCAATTCTATCGATATTATTGAATTCTATTTAAATAAATTATTTCTAATCTTATAAAAATATATGAATTAATAATATTGCAGTTCAAAATACTTACTCTTTGTAAATAAAACTTACATTTATTTAATAAATATAGTAATAATTATTAATCATTTTTATAGACCTACCAACATGTGACATGTTGATTGGTACAAATCTAATTGAAAAGCCTAATTAAATTATTTTTCAGAAAATAGGAATTAATTGAAAAAAAAAGAGAAAAAGACTACCATCTTGAATGATTTCAACAAAAATTAAGACAAAAAGAGTAATTTAACCTACATTTAACATATATAGCTTCAAAATATTAAGCTTTTTGAAAATAAAGATAAATGAATTTTTACAAGTAATGAATCGAGTAATAGCTATCATTTACAAGTTAAGTGAAACTTTAAATAACAAGATGACAAAGTGGATTTTGGTCCGTAGTCGATTCGTCTCATCACGTCTAAAATGCTAAATTAGTAGTCAGGGAAGATATGAAATAGGTTGACTTGTCAATCCATTATTTTAAATTAAAAATAAAAATAAAAAGATTTATGTATTATATTAGTTGAAAAATATATATGTATAGTGACATAATTTATCTATTAAAGATATTAATTAATTAATTAAAATTTTAAAAAATATTTATATAATTAAATATGTTTTTAATATATATATATATAACAAATTTTGAAAATATAAAATTTACGACCCGCTTTACTACGACATAGTTGGTACTACGTACTCCCTTCAATATTTGACTAGTCTTGCAAAATTTTCTGAAGCAACCATTATACAAGTTTAAGATTCCTTCAATATTTGACCGTTTTTCAACATTTTCTCAAGCAACCGTTATACAAGTCTAAGATTCCAGTGAAGCATCATACATCAAATTTTGCAGTGGTAGCCAACAACAAACAAATGAAACTAATGCAAAGACAAAAGAAGATAAAGAAAATAAATAGCAAGCAATCACTACAATTTACTACTAATGTTTAGGAAACTTTGTTTTCTAATTGTTATATTTTAAAAATAAGTTAAAACGTATTCGAGGAACATTATTTTTGTATTTTCTAAGTAACAATATTTTCTTAATATTCGATCCTTACAACAGCCAACACTAGAAAATAATGATAATAATCCTGGTTGGACATTTTATCAAACACCTTTCTTCCCAAAAATAAAAATAGCTACATTAAGAAATCATCCAAAAGAGTAGATACAGATACACCACAAAACTACGATCAGAAGAACCAAAGAAAAGAAAGAGAGAAAGAAGGAAAAGGGAAGGAAATAGAAAATTCCTTAAAACCCATGGCCCAAAAGTTTCCTAAAATTCAAGGAAACGCAAATTCTTTCCAGCAACTCCAAATCAAGTAACAATGGCTGATGAAATCCATGAAAAATACAACACAAGTTTACGTGCCTACACCAACAAAAGAAACCACAACCATCACCTTCCAAGGCTCTTTGATTTTTGGCTTCATATTCAACAAACCAATCTCAAAAAGCCACTGCTCAGAGATGAAATTAAGCCATTGTTCATCTCTTTAAGCTTCAAGGACTCCTTTTCGCGAGACATTTCATTCAAAGTAATGTATTATGCTTCATCAAGGTTAGATATTTAAAAGTATTAATTATGGCTAATGTGCAACATTTAAGAAGTTTCTTTTGCTGTATTAAATAACCGAGGAGAAATTAATACAATTTCTTTATCGGTTTCTCTTATCTCTCCCATGCATTAATGATTAAAAGTAATGTATGATATGGTTGGTGGATAAACACATTTGTTAAACAAAATGATTAAGAATATCTGACATAATATGCTATGGACACAGTTCATAAATAATATTGCTATTGGTTGAGATGATGGTGTATAACAATATACACAGTCCTTTTCCAACTCATTCCAGAATTACTATAATGTTTAAATTCAATAATTCACGAAATATAGTTGTCAAACCCAATAATTTCATTACTCTGTGTTCAAAAGTTTTGTTCTCCAGTTTACAGAAAAAGTTGAACCTTTATTTGATGGCTTAAATTATTGAACTTTGAAACAGAACAACACATTTTTAAACAGTATATGCTGTTTTATAAAATACAAAAAACTAAAATTATAGAAAAAAGAATCAAAATTATTATTTAATTTTGTAAGAAATTATTCAGTTCTTATAATCATACAATTTTTATCTTTATATTTAAAAATAATCTATTTTAATCTTTGTACGTACTGTCTTAAATATTTTTAGTCTCTAATTATATTATTTTAACACTTTTAACTTTTATCGTCCAAGACTTAATTTTCTTTTAAATAGTTATTATCTTTTATTTCTAGGTCCTCCTTCAAATTATCCTTGCTAACACGCCCCTCTTCTCTCCACCTTAAATGCAGTTCAGTTAAACTTCTACAGTGTCTGCAATAAAATCCTCCACCAATGTCACCGCCGCTATATCCTCATCGTAGATCCGCTTCTGTCGGTGGAATTCCCGATTGGATCTCTGACTCGATCAACGGTGGATCCCTCCGCCACGTCGACCTGAACAACGGAACCAATGGCTGGGCGTCGCCACCGGGGGAACTCTTTTCCCTCCGCTCCTCCGACTACCTCAAGAACCGCCAAAAATCCCCCGCCGGCGATTACCTCCTGGCGCCGGCCGGCATGGACTGGCTCAAATCCACCGCCAAAATGGAGCACGTGCTCTCACGCCCGGACAATCGCGTAATGCAGGCGCTGAAAAGGTCGCAGCAAAACCAAGGCCAGTCCATGAAGAGCTTCGTCTTCGCCGTGAACCTCCAGATCCCCGGCGCGAAGGAGCACCACAGCGCGGTGTTCTACTTCGCGGCGGAGGATCCGGAATCGCTCCAAAGCTGTTCGCTGCTGAATCGGTTCGTGCACGGCGACGACACGTTCCGGAACCAGCGGTTCAAGCTGGTGAACCGGATTGTGAAGGGACCGTGGATCGTGAAGAGAGCCGTGGGTAACCACGGCGCATGCTTGTTAGGGAAAGCGTTACATTGCTCATACCACAGAGGGCCCAATTACCTAGAAATCGACGTCGATATAGGAAGCAGCGCAATTGCAAATGCGATTCTGCACGTCGCGTTGGGACATGTGACGGCAGTTACGATCGACATGGGATTCGTGGTGGAGGCGCAGACGGAAGATGAGCTGCCGGAGAAGTTGATCGGCGGCGTCAGGGTTTGCCAGATGGAGATGTCGTCGGCCACCGTGGTGGAGGCGTCGCACGTGCCGCAAGTAGCGCACGTGTCGCGTGGGATTGGTTGTGCCAGAGTGAATCACCATATGTCTGCGGATGATCTTCTTGCTTTGGATCATTAGATTATGAATTTTTTAGTGGCAAAAGATCATCATTTTTTTTTTAAATTTTAATTGTTCTCCTATGATTTTAATTTCACATTTATTGGATATAAAGAAAATAATGCCAATATTTTATACGTAATTATGCTTACCGGAGGTTAATTTTATTTTGAAGAGCATGTATAGAAAAAGTTAATTTTAATGATTTTATTTTTATTTTAATACAAAAATCTTTACAATTTGACACATACGTAACTTTATTTCATTAAATAGAGCGTTTATTATATTTATCCCAGTTTTTATATTAGCTATTGCACTAATTTTGAATATATGTTGATAAACAAATGGTATATATGCGTATTGCTCATTCCTTTCTTCTCCGTTTTGAGCTGCACAATTTTTGTTTAATAGACAAAATTAATCGATAGCTATTTTTTATAAGAATCTAACTACGAATTCTAATAGATTTCTTTAACTATTTTTTATTTACATGATTTTTAATACAAGAAAACAGATATGAACTTATATGTATCGGGATGACAAATGAATAGGTACAAACTCATTTTAATATTTGTGATGATAATTCTTCACTTTTAAAATTGATAAGAAAATAACAGTAAATATCTATATATTTGTTTCGTTTTTGTAAACATAGTAGTAGTAATTTTGTTTTTATATCTACGTCCGTTTTAAATTACTAAAATTAATATATTTAAGCGTTCGTTTTATAACATAAAATATAAGTTTACTTATTTTTACATTTTTATATAATTATTTGATTTTTATCTAATTATTATTTGATATTTTTTTTGTTTTATATAAAAAAATATATCTTTTTAATATTGAATGGTTTATAATATTATATTTATTTTATCGTGATTTTTTTTTATTTAGAAAAAAAAGTATCTAATTAATATTCAAAATATTAAAAATTTGAAAAAAAAATTTTTTTTTTAAATTTTTTTTTAAATTTAATTAAAAAAATGTATAGTTAGTAAATATATAGATGAAGATGAAAATTTTTTTTAATTTAAAAAAGATAATGAATTTATTCCATGATGATCTTATAGCTGTTGATACCAACCACCCACACTTGCACAATTTTTTTACTCATGGATGCCAACTTGAGTAAGGTGGACTTTAGTTATAAAATAATGGTTGAAGATTTGGTTTGTAGGGAAACATAAAGTTGAAGATCTACAATGATTGTTTGTAATTTTCAACATGAAATCAACCTTGTGATAGTTACCCTACTTTTGCAAATTCTTCTAATAAGTATAAATTTCATGTATATAGTTTAATAATTTTCAAAATATTTTACATTTTCATTTTGGATGGACATATTAATAATGAAAAACTCACCTTATTTAACTAGTTTTGATTTCCAACTTTTTGAAATTTAGAAAACTTAAATGAGGTTATTCGTCCTTTCTCAAACACTACTCTGAAGATATTAGAACAACTTTTCAATCGAAGAATGTCACTACTTCTTCTTCTTCACCATTATATTATTATTATTATTATTATTTATCTATAATATAAAGATAGTTTCAGTAATAACAGTAATACAAATTGAAAATAGAATAATAAAAATAGAATAAAAGTTATTGAGTAAAAGAAAGACTTACAACTGTTGAAAAATAAAAGTTATTATCTTCTTAAAAACATTATATCGAGAATCTTGACTTTTTAATTTTATTGGTTTTAGTCGAACATATCAAATAAACTAAATTGACTATTTTCTTCATCGGATTGATGTTGTTGATTTGGTTTTTATTAGTTTTTCAAATTCTTCTATATTTTTTTTTTTTTGCAGAATCTAATTTGACTATTAACTTTTGCTTTTTTCTTTGTTATGAATAGTGACTCTTAAGTTACTACGGACGTTCCTTCTTAGTTTTTTACTTGTTATTGTTAAGCCATTCATCGATTTTTATTCTTCTTAGTAATAAGATCTACATTAAACTTCTTTCACCATTTTATTTTAAACTTTTGTCCCTGGATATAAATTAATATATTTCGAGGCTATGTCATAGAACAATTGTATGAAATACAAAGCTTATTATTGATGAGTGACTTAGCAATAATGGGATAAAACAAGAAGGATTTTCCCAACTAACTTAAGTACTATTCTTAACAGAAAATCGAAAATTACTAGTCGAATTAACTTGTGAAAAAATACGGAGGAATTTGATAAGCTAATAAGATCAAATTAATGACCTCAAAATCCAAATCAAATAAAGAAAGCAGTTAGTTTAATACATTTGATATGTTCAACAAAATTCGAATAAGATAAGAAGAAAAAAAGTCAAAAAGTTGAGATTATCATAATAGTATTTCTAAGAAGATAATATTTATCAAAAAGGAATTCCTAAAGCATGAAAAGACTTAAAGATGTTCACTAATAATTTTTCTTAGGAATATTATTGTAAAATAGTGTGTGCTTTAATATGTTTTTACTCATGTATAACATGCATATCTCTTTATAAAAAATGAACATAATATTCTTGAGTGTAATAAATTTGTTTGAAATAAAATGATCTTAATGTTTATTGAAAACTGTCGTTATTGTGATTATTTGATAATTTGAAAGATGAGAAATCATAACAAATTTTAGGATTTAATTGTTTTTTCTTATGTTATTTTTTAAATTAAGAAATTTAGTGCAACATATAAGTAATACTATTTTTAATTTTTTAGTGCTGAAATATTTTAATATTCAAACTATAGAGGGTAAGGTGGTTTCATTTATGGACATAATATGAAAATTTTCATATACTAATTTACTCTGTAAAATAGAGGCATCACACACACACATATACACTATATAATTGAACTCTATAATTCTGTGTAATTCATTGATGAATACTATATGCCTTGAATAGCCACAAGACCAGGAAATAAATACAGTAACCCTAATATGTTGAGCATAAAAATAGTAACAATGAAAAAATCAAATCAGAACACGTTACGACAATAATTAAAAGTTGTAACACTGTAATTATGTAACAAATAAACTATGACTCAAATGAAATTACTAATAAACCTCTTAGATTTAAGTTTATCCAACAAAATTCCCCTATAAACTTAAATATTTCCATCGTTTGCTTCTTCCATTAAGAGTTTGATTCTTTATTTCTTTCACGTTAATCGTACTATCTTTCACTTTGATTGACCTCTCTAATGTTTTGATCGACCTCTTAACAACATTGACCAACCTCTTAATGATCTTGGTCAATCTCTCAATCTCCCGACAATCTTTATTGCTTTCAAAATTTGATTTGTACGACTTTGTTATGATATGAGTTCTCATTGCTAACATTGACAAACTCTTGTTTCAAGTTGTTGTGTGCCAACTTCTTTTATTTTTGGTTTTGCATTCAAAATAATTATTTTTTATGTTAATAATTTATTGTCCAATTTTATTTAGAATACTTACTACATTAAATATATTTTTCGACTAAAATTATTATAAAACTTTTTGTTTTATTCCTAAAATAAATTATAAAATATTTCATCTCTTTCTTTGTAAAATATATTTTTCAACAAAATATTTTCTAATTTAGTTTAAATTTTTTTTGATTTTTTTATTATAACTCAGAGATAAAAAACATATTTAATATATTTAGTCTTCATCTAAGGAACTATATTTGTGTATGATGTATAGTATCAATTGCCATTATTTCATTAAGAAAATCAATATTTGTTATGCTACAGCAACAGAAAAGAAATATGTATCAGATGGCAAGAAAGAATTAAGAAGAGATACATAAACACAGTAGTCTGCATAAACTGTATTTTTTACATGGTATAAAACCTGTGTCTGGACTTTATTTTCCATTATGCATAGAGAATCTTGGTTGCTGCACTCTTTCATATGTACTTTTCATGCATTAGTTGATGCACAGAAGCTCCTAATTTCACCCTCATCACCAGTTTTGACTCCAATAGTAGTGAGTTTCAAGAAAGACTGGCCCCAACTTTGAAAGAAAAACTGTTGATCTTTTGCCAAGTCCTCCACCAATCTCCTTGTTCTGTTGTCACTTAGCAAGGCAGAGTCAGATTGGAACAACCCCTTGTTGTTGACAAGATTTCTGTAGTACTGGTTGTCAAAAACCATGGAAGTTTCAGGATCTTTATTTACTAACATTGATGGGCTTGCACTTAAGGGACACTCTTTCATTAGCTCATTTGCATAGCTACTATCAAGGCTTTTGTCAATCAGTGTGAGCTTTCCCTTGGAGTCTTGTTGAAACCTATCCCTGAATGAGCTGCAATGAGCTGTTCCTATGGTGTGAGCCCCTACAAATCCANATTATTATTATTATTTATCTATAATATAAAGATAGTTTCAGTGATAACAGTAATACAAATTGAAAATAGAATAATAAAAATAGAATAAAAGTTATTGAGTAAAAGAAAGACTTACAACTGTTGAAAAATAAAAGTTATTATCTTCTTAAAAACATTATATCGAGAATCTTGACTTTTTAATTTTATTGGTTTTAGTCGAACATATCAAATAAACTAAATTGACTATTTTCTTCATCGGATTGATGTTGTTGATTTGGTTTTTATTAGTTTTTCAAATTCTTCTATATTTTTTTTTTTTTGCAGAATCTAATTTGACTATTAACTTTTGCTTTTTTCTTTGTTATGAATAGTGACTCTTAAGTTACTACGGACGTTCCTTCTTAGTTTTTTACTTGTTATTGTTAAGCCATTCATCGATTTTTATTCTTCTTAGTAATAAGATCTACATTAAACTTCTTTCACCATTTTATTTTAAACTTTTGTCCCTGGATATAAATTAATATATTTCGAGGCTATGTCATAGAACAATTGTATGAAATACAAAGCTTATTATTGATGAGTGACTTAGCAATAATGGGATAAAACAAGAAGGATTTTCCCAACTAACTTAAGTACTATTCTTAACAGAAAATCGAAAATTACTAGTCGAATTAACTTGTGAAAAAATACGGAGGAATTTGATAAGCTAATAAGATCAAATTAATGACCTCAAAATCCAAATCAAATAAAGAAAGCAGTTAGCTTAATACATTTGATATGTTCAACAAAATTCGAATAAGATAAGAAGAAAAAAAGTCAAAAAGTTGAGATTATCATAATAGTATTTCTAAGAAGATAATATTTATCAAAAAGGAATTCCTAAAGCATGAAAAGACTTAAAGATGTTCACTAATAATTTTTCTTAGGAATATTATTGTAAAATAGTGTGTGCTTTAATATGTTTTTACTCATGTATAACATGCATATCTCTTTATAAAAAATGAACATAATATTCTTGAGTGTAATAAATTTGTTTGAAATAAAATGATCTTAATGTTTATTGAAAACTGTCGTTATTGTGATTATTTGATAATTTGAAAGATGAGAAATCATAACAAATTTTAGGATTTAATTGTTTTTTCTTATGTTATTTTTTAAATTAAGAAATTTAGTGCAACATATAAGTAATACTATTTTTAATTTTTTAGTGCTGAAATATTTTAATATTCAAACTATAGAGGGTAAGGTGGTTTCATTTATGGACATAATATGAAAATTTTCATATACTAATTTACTCTGTAAAATAGAGGCATCACACACACACATATACACTATATAATTGAACTCTATAATTCTGTGTAATTCATTGATGAATACTATATGCCTTGAATAGCCACAAGACCAGGAAATAAATACAGTAACCCTAATATGTTGAGCATAAAAATAGTAACAATGAAAAAATCAAATCAGAACACGTTACGACAATAATTAAAAGTTGTAACACCGTAATTATGTAACAAATAAACTATGACTCAAATGAAATTACTAATAAACCTCTTAGATTTAAGTTTATCCAACAAAATTCCCCTATAAACTTAAATATTTCCATCGTTTGCTTCTTCCATTAAGAGTTTGATTCTTTATTTCTTTCACGTTAATCGTACTATCTTTCACTTTGATTGACCTCTCTAATGTTTTGATCGACCTCTTAACAACATTGACCAACCTCTTAATGATCTTGGTCAATCTCTCAATCTCCCGACAATCTTTATTGCTTTCAAAATTTGATTTGTACGACTTTGTTATGATATGAGTTCTCATTGCTAACATTGACAAACTCTTGTTTCAAGTTGTTGTGTGCCAACTTCTTTTATTTTTGGTTTTGCATTCAAAATAATTATTTTTTATGTTAATAATTTATTGTCCAATTTTATTTAGAATACTTACTACATTAAATATATTTTTCGACTAAAATTATTATAAAACTTTTTGTTTTATTCCTAAAATAAATTATAAAATATTTCATCTCTTTCTTTGTAAAATATATTTTTCAACAAAATATTTTCTAATTTAGTTTAAATTTTTTTTGATTTTTTTATTATAACTCAGAGATAAAAAACATATTTAATATATTTAGTCTTCATCTAAGGAACTATATTTGTGTATGATGTATAGTATCAATTGCCATTATTTCATTAAGAAAATCAATATTTGTTATGCTACAGCAACAGAAAAGAAATATGTATCAGATGGCAAGAAAGAATTAAGAAGAGATACATAAACACAGTAGTCTGCATAAACTGTATTTTTTACATGGTATAAAACCTGTGTCTGGACTTTATTTTCCATTATGCATAGAGAATCTTGGTTGCTGCACTCTTTCATATGTACTTTTCATGCATTAGTTGATGCACAGAAGCTCCTAATTTCACCCTCATCACCAGTTTTGACTCCAATAGTAGTGAGTTTCAAGAAAGACTGGCCCCAACTTTGAAAGAAAAACTGTTGATCTTTTGCCAAGTCCTCCACCAATCTCCTTGTTCTGTTGTCACTTAGCAAGGCAGAGTCAGATTGGAACAACCCCTTGTTGATGACAAGATTTCTGTAGTACTGGTTGTCAAAAACCATGGAAGTTTCAGGATCGTTATTTACTAACACTGATGGGCTTGCACTTAAGGGACACTCCTTCATTAGCTCATTTGCATAGCTACTATCAAGGCTTTTGTCAATCAGTGTGAGCTTTCCCTTGGAGTCTTGTTGAAACCTATCCCTGAATGAGCTGCAATGAGCTGTTCCTATGGTGTGAGCCCCTACAAATCCACAAAAACTATGTCATTATTTTCATCTTAATATCCATTAAGAATAGTTGCTATATAAGGAATACCCTAAACCAAGAATGTGAAACCTCCTAACTGTTACATACATGTGAATTGTAAGAAAACAAAAGGGTGACAATGTAATTTGGCCTTTTATGCATTATGAGATCTTTGTACCAAATACCAAACATATTCCAATAAATGTGGTGAGTTGGTTTCCATCTGCATGGCATCAGAAATTCAATTCTTTCTACCTAACAGAACCTATTATCGAGCCTCGTGTGTCTTTATGGGGTTTTCACCACAATCATGTTGAAAGACATGGTCAATTACATTCTAAGAATAAAGGGTAGGGGAAGAGACTGAAATAAAAAGGAATGATACTTATATATGAAAGAGAAGCATGCCAATATTATAGGACGTGAAAATACTTAGAAGAATATGAACCTGAAAGGATGACAAGGTCAAATAAGGACAAGCCTTTATTGGAGAATCGGTTAATCATCTGATCCATTGTAAAACTTGTGTCCAAAATGTTGGGTCTTACATTTGAAGCAACTGAAACCATGCCATCTCTCCTTCCAGTGGGAATTTGAATCATAGGACCACCAGTCTGTTCTCAAGTCAGTGCCACTAAGATAAATTGGATCTTAAGGTAATAGATTTCTGGAATTTTCTCATGTGAGACTTATACTCCATTTAGATTTATAACATATGTAATGTAACAATGAGGGTAAGTGGATATCTTACGAGTGCAACGGCATCTCTTGCAGCCAAAGCAATTATGTCAGCACAAGAAACTGTTCCTGGACAAAGGAACTCAAGCACTCTTTTTGCTGATTCTATTACTGAAAATCCTCCAATAGACCTATTTGCTGGATCACTTTGTTCTGTGTTATTCCCTAACAGCATCAAAGAGGCATCACATCCCTACATATCATGAAATGATTGATCACTAAAAGCTTAATCCCATTTGAATTTTACATCACGCAAAGAAAGCGTAAGAACAAAAGAAACCACATTTGATTTTTTTATTAGCAATTGCGATTACTCTCTTTAGCCTTATTCATTTTAGAGAATCCGAGTCCAAGTACAAGAGGAATCTGATTTCTCCAAATTGAACAACTCATTTTAAATAACAAAATAAATCATTTTATTAATTGATAAGAAACTCAACTCTAGAAATTAAGTGCAGAACCACTGACTAAGATAACTCTAGTCCAAGCACAACAGTGAAATGCAGGAAATGAGAAAGATAAATATCTTAACAATTACAGACATAATATGAATATATACAGCCAAATTTTTTGGTTCAAGAACATGTGTTAGGAAGGAGTAATAGTATAAGCTAACCTCGACAAAGCAGTCATGAAAAACCAAGCGAAGCAGCTTCCCAGGGATTGAAGGATCAGAAGAAGAAGATGAACTGACACTGTTTCTTACAATGAGTTCTGCTGTTGGGCATGAAGCTGCATAGAAGTTGAAAAACAGGCTACCTGAAACAGAAGTAGCCAAAATGAAGATAATGAAAAGACAAGAAACTGCTATTGGAAAAGGAAAAACCGTTGTTCCTTTCTCCATAGAATCAAGTTCTCAGTCCTTTTGAGTAAGGGCTCAGTGTTTGCAGTGTGGGGAATCTCTCAGTCACATGATAATGATAGAGAATGGAGATACATACAGCAAAGTGTGACCGTGAAATAGTCCAAATTCAAAGCTACATTTATGTGGTTGGATGAAGTCAGTGGCATGACATAAATGTTAGAGGTTATGGTCATGCATTTTTCCAGCTCTGAAGCATTTAAGAATGTTTCCTGGTAACTACAGATAATGGTAAATTCTATTACCTTACACCAACCGTAGAATAATTATTTCAACCATGTGTTTGGAACAATTATAAGGGGGCATGTTCTACACCATGTTTGGATAAAAATCTCTATGCTGAGGAATCATAAGAAAGAGTACTTTCTCATTTCATTTTCACCGCTAACTAGTGTCCACCACACTTTTATGGTCTAACACTAGTAAATGTTGTCAGACAATAGGAGAGAACAAAAGCACAAGAGGAGGAAATTGTAATTAATGTATGAACATTTTTTCCACCACAAATTATCTGTAAACTTAAGAGTTCCAATATTTTCTTAAGAGTCACAATATTTCTGAAAGAATACTCTGAATTAATTTGACCACAGCTCTTTTATCAGAATTTTTCATCTTTGGACAATCATCCATGTATTTAATCCCTATTTGAGAGACTATCATCTTTGGACAAATATTATTCTATGAACAGAAGTACATATACAAAAAATTAAAAGTTGAATCTTCAATTAGATATGTAGTTACTTTGCAGCTATATCATGGTTTGCTTCATCAGTTTCCTAGGTTGTTCACTCCACTTGCACAAATGATGAGTCAAACTACCATAAAACACAACAGTGATGGCTTTGGCCAACCCATTTCTCTCGCTCACCCCATCTTCTCTGGCTTTGACTCCATCACGGCCATCTAAACACAGTTCTCCAAAGTACCACTCTTCACACTCTTTTCACAACCGTTCAAACCATTGTCACTTCATGCAGAAGGAACGTGCACCACAGGTGTGGAGCCCTCTAACATGGACCTTTGCTTGATCACAAAGATGGGTAGGGTCAAAAAGTTCTTGTCGACACTAAAGAGTAGTCTTTTGAAAGAGGAATCATATAAGAGACACAACAATAAATAAATGAGACATTAGTCCATTTAGGTAAGAATTGAAATCACTCTTAACTTAAGACCTTAATGTTGTGTTTGAATTAGGTAATTTTGAAGAATAATTTATTTGTTTGAATTCTTTACACTAATAAAAAAAATTTAAGACTTGTTTGGACGAAGTAATACAATTTTTTTTGAGGTATTTCAAATTAATGAAATAGAAATTTTTTAATTGAGTTTACTTTGAATCAAAGGTTGAGTTGACTCGTTTCAGGCTGAAGATTCATATGAGTCAGCTCGAGACAAAGATGAGCTGATTCAATTCAAGACGAAAATGGAGATAAGTTGGTCTGCTACAAAGGTAAAATCGAGTTGAAGATCAAGACGAATTGACCTAAGTCATATGTTAAAGTGAATCAGTCAAGCAAAAGGTCAAAATAAGTTTGTATAAGCTGAAACTAAAACCGATTCATCGTAATTTAAAAATTGAAACGATAGAAATTGATTTAAAAGAAAAATAAAACTTAAGCTAAAAAGGTAAAATTTATTGATTGTAAGTGTATTTTAATAAAAGAATACCATTCCAATATATTCATATAAAAATATAAGACAAAAAATAATAAAAAAGGTTTTACTCAATAACTTAACATAAATTACTTTGGTACATTTACTCTAATTTTCATTATTTCCTCTATTTGTTATGTTAAATATCAATCCATGAATTATTTATTCACGGATGGTAAGACCGCACTTTTTAATATTTTCTCTATTTGAATGTTGTTATCTTAAACATCAATCCATGAATTATTTATTTACTAAATAGATGTTAATTAAGACAACATTTTTTAATAGTGAAATAAAGGAAGAAATTTATAACTCAACTTTAAGGATGGTTAGCGGTGAAGCTCCGACACAACGTCATTTCTGCGCCGGAAGTGCATCTCAGATATAGACGTGCAACAGAGGCATGCATGATGCGGTGTGTAAGACACATTTCTTTGGGCTAGACTCGATCCTGTTTGAGGACACATCAAAGAAGACATGACTAGCTGAGAAGTGTTGAAACTGGCAATGTTTAGCCTTGAACACTTGTGTCACACAAAAACACGTGCAACAGCTACGACGTCGTCACCGTGGCGCCTTCACGTTGCACGACGACACTGGTGGTGGGGGACACGGTGATTTCTGATTTGGGTATTGGAAGTTAGAAGAAACATATTTTGAAAGAGGAAGAACGTTGATGGATATCTGTTGGCGCCGACGAAGCTTGATGGCAACCGGTGTCGCTGGTGGTGATGGCTCTAATTAGACAGAGGG